TGGGGAGAGGGAGGTCTGGGCCTCTTTGCTTAGGCTGCTGCCCCCGCGACCCGGCCCCGGACAAAGCGGATGAAGATGGATGGATGTTAAAGAAATGTCTAAGACTGTTGCATATAATTCAATTTTTACTTGATGCAATGTGCATAACATTAAAAATTTTAAACTAATTAAACAATTTTAAAAAGAGAATTTTCCCTTTGATTCAATTTTATATGATGGATTATGCATAAAAAATAGAATTGGTCTGTTGGTTTATTACATATTCAGGTTGTGTATCATGTTTTTGAAAAATAACTAAGAAACTATGTAACTAATTACTTTTCAAAATAAGTAATCAGTAGTGTAACAGGATTACTTTGTTGGAGAAGTAATCAGTTATAAGTAACTAATTACTTTTTCAAGTAACTTGAACAACACTGCTCATGACTATTACAAAATAACTTAACTCTACCCTTTCTTATGGAGAACATGTGATTTTAACATAATATTAACATAAGAAATCAACAATACACGAAACGCTGGGTCACAGATCTGACAGGCCAGGCTCAGGGACGAGGCGCTAAGGAAGACCAAATCTGATTGCAAGCTGCCCCCTCACTGTGATGTCACAAACAGCTGGAAATCAAAGTACAACAAAGCTGGCTACAGGTTTATACTGAAGTCATGCAGGGTGCAGGGGGAACGACTCAGGTTTTACAGCATAAATACTGGCTGACATTTACACTTTAGAAGAGTCAGTTAGTTGTTATTATTACATAATAACTGTAAGTTTAACCTGACATTTATCTCACACTACACATCAAGACTAACATTGTGCAACTTCATGCTGAAGAAAATGTGCAATATGATCAAAAGCTTCAGGAAAACTAATACATGTAATTTCTGGTGAGATTGTTTATTTTTTCCTATTAAAATGCAATAAACCAAACACAGACATGCAGGAAAGTGAGATGTTCCAGTAACAAGCAGACACGGAGAAAAGAAAGTGAAAGCTCCTCCCGTACTTTATTTATTGACTTTATTGAGTAACTAATTACTGGCGATCTTTTGGTTTTTACTTTAAGTTTTGTAATGAATCATTTAGATGCTAATTTAATTCGTCATTCTGTAATAGCTTTTTAAATTGTTTAATTTATTAAGTGTTTGTAATTAAATACAGTAGGTCAGTTAGTGTTCTGGTGGCTCTGCATGCTAATTCTGGGGCTAAAAAACACCAAGCGTAGTCATTAAAGGTCAGAATGTCAGTATTGGTGGTAGCTTCTCCATCACTGGTCTGATGTTTACAAACCTTGGAGCGGTGATGTGTCCTGTTGTGGGGTGTATCAGCATTTTTTATCCACTATTCACTGACTAAAGAGGTCGGCTTTGTCACTCTGGGAAACTTTGCATATTTGCGTGCGGTCGTCCTGCTCTTCCTGTCTTGTTTTTCAGTATGGAAATTGGCACGGTGGCCCTTTCTCCTCTAATCACTGTCATCACACGCTAATGATGCCAGAGATGAGTTCAAAGCAGTCAGTGGGGGTCGTGCTGCTGCCCCCTCCCCACTGTGCACACAGATATCAGCGCTCATCAAAGAGTCTGTGAGATGTTTTCTGTTAATGAAGATACCGATTCCTCTCATCCCATTTTAACTGGCCTTCTGATTGTATAATAGCCATGATGGTAGATATTATAATTATAAATGATGGCAGGTCATTTATAATGGTTTAAGTTTGTGTAATGTGTGCATTCAGGA